CTAACCGTTGGAAATGTAGGAATGTTGTGTTTCTAGTTACTTTACACGTAGTCCAGAAAGTGTTATTTATTTCTATTTCCTTCGTTTCTTTATATTCTGTGTGTAGTGGACTAAACTCGACCAAGTTAGTAAATTCAGAATCAGAAAAATGTTTTACTGATAGCTTTGTCAGTATCTTCATTGACTCAAATGAATTGATCGATACTGCGCTGAGAGATGATTGATGAAAGTTTTGGAAAGAAATCAGTAATGTCCAGAGTTAGTTAAACTGGCAATCGATAACTCGAACGCAATTACGTAATAGTTGATTTACGTCAAAATGATCCCTTAAAATGGCTCGCGGCGAGGCTTGCGCCCCCGTATACTTCAAACTATAATAAGACTTCGTGCTTTTATTCCGCTGGTTTAAAAAGGACAACTTAAACAGTATCATGCACGGGATAAACATAACGAGCGGAGTGTGGAAGCTTGAAAATTTCTACCGGCAATATCGCTTGGGGTTGGCTTTTTCTTTTCACGTGTAGTTCAGAACGTTGGATCGGAATTAATGAACCGTAATCCCCCAATAATGAGGCTTCGGCTTCACTGGCTTTGATACGACCTCGGCACCCTTCTTACCCCGCCGCTCCGTTGTCTATCGGTCCCTGTGTATCGATGTACATATGTGCTCGCGTAAATGTCACATACGCTACACGACTTAGCAGGCCGATGGTACGCAGAGAGAGAGAGACCAGGCCTTCCGCGTGTCGAGGCTGTCGACGCGAGACAAATTATTTTTCTCAACAACGCGCGTCGATGCTTTTCACCGCGTATAACGAGTTGTTCGAGCGGTTCCGCTCGTAGAGAGAATACAAAATATCCCTGCCCCTCTTTCACGGTCGCTCCGCGGCTTGTCGATATTTTTCCCGGTTTCACCGGAGGACCGTGAATATTTTTGCCGCGCGAATTTTACCACGTCAACGATGACTTCGACGTTGCTGACGCCTCCCGTAATTCATGGGAAAAGGGACGAGAAAAATTTTCTCGTTCGATAATTTCGTTACGGCCACCGATAGCTCGCCCCCGCTGCAATTAACGAAGAATGTATCGTCGAACATCGAGAGTCCTTTGGTCTCTAATTTTTTTGATATTGCGTTCTCTTAACGCCTCCGTTGAGAACATCCTGGACCCAATATTGTTTCGAATTTCTCGCGTACGAGTTTTGTGTGTTGGTACCGCTTGCCGTAACGCCGAAAGTTGAATGCAACTATGAAACCGGCATAATTTGTGTTCCTTGTAAACCGTGGCGGATGCTGGTTTCCCCGGAACACGGTCGGTTATTCGAGCCCTCGGCCATATTCGACCCGGCTGTAAACGAAACTTTTAATAATCGCGAGCCAACCGTTCCCTTTTCTCTCGAGGAAGCCTTTTCTCCGCGACGCCCCGATTACACTCGACGCTCATACGCGTGACCACCAGCAAAGTGTTTCGTATAAAATGTTAATAGAAATGTCACGCATCGACACCGACGGAAAAAGCTTTTTACGTTCCCCGTGAATTCGACGCCGGTCGAGAATATTTTTTTTCATCTCGATCCATTGTATTCGACGTCCTTCCGTCGAGCGGATATAGCCTGTGAAAGCTCCTTCGAATAAATTAGGCGCAAATAAACGCGTGGGAAGAACAAAAGATACGTCTAATCGTTCTTTTACTTTACTTTAATCTGCGATATACTTGTTCCGCGCGATATCTGACCCCCACATTCTATCGAATCTATAAACTTTTATACGAGCTCGTTCTGCTGGCGTTATCTAACGATACCGTACGAGGGATGGAAAAAAAAAAGCTCATAAAATTTGTCATAAATTCCAAGTCAGAGTACACGCTTTCCGTGGCCTTTCACAACGGATCGCGGTTCGAACACAATAATGACAGAAACGCTTTTACAACGTATGGAACAACCCCCGTACACAGAGAGCCCCAGTTTGAAGCGTTACAGACTATTTTGAGGACGGTAAAAAGATTTTCTACCCAGCGTGCTTGTTTTGGACCAACGAACGATACCATCGAAATTTCGAACTCTGGAACAGCGTTATTTTTTGCGTCAAACGAGTCCCGTTGATTCTTGCAGATCATTTCGGAACATGGTTTACAGGAGTTCTATTTTTTAAATATTGCTTCGTTTTAAAAAACACTATTCTCGATGTAATACCACAAAGTAAGAAGATTACATCAAACAATGATACCAAAAGGGACAGCAGGAACTATAAAACCATCGAATTCGAAAAATGGAAAATAGAAAATTGTTTATATTTTACAACTGTTCGTAAGCTCCATGCGTGGACGCTGCGCAACGTCGATCGACAAACACATTGCGAGCGCTTTTGGCCAGTGTAAACCCCGGTAAAATCGGGGCCACGAGCAAGTTTGAAAAACATCGAATTTCCATAGGCCACGGAGCGACCATTGTTCGAAGGAAAACGTGCTCGCGACTCTCGAAGCGTCACGGATTTCAACCGCGGACCCGCTTGGGTTATGTACCGTAGGACGACGGCGTTCCCGGTAGGTTATCCGGTACGTGATTATGGTTAGGCGGGAGAAAAAGGCCGGGTAAGCTTCCAGGATAACGAACAGCGTTGTAGACGCCTGTATGCGGTCAGGTTACGCGATCGTGTCTGCGCGTGTGCACGAAACCGCGCGTAACGAAGCAAAATTTGTACAAGTCAAAGTATTCGAACGCGCGCTGCATTTCGCGTTAACGATTTATGGCGCGATCTGTTCCCCGTAAGTGGTTTCGAGGGTGTATTAAATTGCCAAAAAAACAGTAGTATATTGTACCTCCACCGTACTCCACTATACTTGTACTAACGACCATTTTGTTTTTTTAAATATGAATTCTCTTCTTCATTGAGGATCCTACAATTCCTGTTATAGAATTCGCTCCATTGAATGTTAGACGCCCAAACAGAGGAAACTGAATGATACTAGAGTCGAAGAATCAAATCGTATCCACATTTCTTCCACTTGCCATCTTTCCAGCTCCGCACAGTACATATTTCCACTGGTGTGACCTAATTCCAGCCAATTAACCGAGATCTTACTGGCCTATGGTGATGTTCCTTCACAACGGTTGATCCTCGACAGTGGGAGGGGGACTACAATGCCGTAAGGTGGAACATGGTCGACCTGGTAGTTCGTTCCTTCCATTGTTTTCCGCGTTCAGGCCGACTGTTCCGTAATTCTTACGCCCGTAGGCGTATCTCGGGATCTTTCACCGATCCGTTGCCTCCCGATGGAATCTGTCGCGCCGCACGATGTTCCTGGGCGATGTCGTCGGTTTTATTTTCGTTGGTTTCTCGGCGTCGCGATGCTTTGGACCCTGCAACCGTCCTCCGTAATCGAATCAGCTCTCTGCCTGGCTCCACTTTGCCGAATTCCCCGCCTCGTCAAACTCCGTCAAACGAAATCATCCGTCGAGTTCCGGCGGTTAGTGACAGGCGTTCGAAGCTGCGTCTTGACAGGAAATTTGGAACTTTCGAAACTCGACTGATCTTGATGAGTCTTGGAGTTGAACTCCCCGATAAAACATCGAACAATATCTGTGGATATTTTAACAAACGTACGATGGGACGGAAAGTGTAGAAAGCTCGAACGTAATGCTACTTGGATTTAAAAACGACGAGTGTTGTGGAAAGCGTAGCGAGTATGTTAGAAAATAGACGCGGTAAAGAATATCGCGCGACGAGAAGCATGAATTTCAATGAGCGTGTCAACGGATTACAATATTACCATGGTTATATAAACGCAGACACGCCCCGCATTTGCATTGATAGCATGAGTATAATATATCGTCCGAAGTTCAAAAGCTGAGCTTTTCTCTGCGACCGCAATAGCCACTGGCCACCTGTTGCCTTTTCATTTATATTTGAGATGTACTGAGCCCGTCATCGCATACTTATCTCCGTAAACGTTTCCAAGGGGAATGTCTTTTCACGGCGAGAAACTGCGCGAAATAATTCCCACCCTTGCCAGAGATTCTCGACTTATCGACGATCCGATTCAACGTAACACGCACAAATATTTCATGCCAAAACTTTTACGAAAACTCGTTGGTCCCCGCGATTCAGATTTAATCGTAACATCTGGTTGATAATCACGTCTGCCTCGTCTTTCGAAATGAGAGAAATTGCCGTGTAATTGGCGCGCGTGTCGAGGGAAAACATGTCAGGCGCGACGAGGGGTTTGATTTCCTGCAAGTAATGGGAAAAGAAGGTCTCGAGCTTCTTTGACAATTACGTACACCGTTGAACCGACATTGTTATCGAATTTTCCTGCGTGCATGTAAATTTCTAAGGCACGAAACGCCCACGTGGTCCCGAGAAAACGCGAGATTCCAGAAAATTATACAGCTTTGCGTCAGCGACGGTAATCCCATTGTTACAGCGTCGCTTCGTCTCATGGAAATTACGAACCGGGACGCTGGCCAGTAGTATCTGATCCTGTATTTCGGACTTGCTTGTCATAGAATGGTAATTTACATTGTGAGCAACTTAATCTTGACACGATAAATCGTGTGAGTTCGCCCTCTAGGTGGGCCTCTCGTAATGCATCGATCGCGGTTCGCGTGGTCGCTCGATTAGGGTAATTCTCACCCACGACGCGTGGAATTTTTCAAAACAAAATAAGTCAAAAACTAAATAATTATACTTAAGTTACACGCGTGCTCCAAGAATGTTCAAAATTGATTTTCTCGAACGCAAAGTCTCCTGAAAATATTTTACTCCACATTTGTGACTTGTATTTTTGAGAAGATTCACCCCATTCTGCCCTTACCGCCCCTTAGTGATACGTTCAAAACAGCTGATTATTTCTTTTAGTTGTGACGATAGTAGAAAATATTCTGCTCATAATTTCGACGGTTTCAAGCATTTACTATGTTGATACGTGTCAATGCACAATGATTATCGAAACTGATAAGAATCGAGGCGAATTTGTATAATGGTAAATAATGTGTGTTCCAGGGTGCATCATCCAGCTTAGTGGTAAAATTCGCAGATACTGAGAAAGAAAGGCAATTAAGACGCATGCAGCAAATGGCTGGAAACATGAGCCTCCTCAGCCCTTTCGTCTTCAATCAGTTCGGCGCTTACGGCGCTTATGCTCAAGTGAGTCACATTGCTGTTAATGGTTCTCGCCTTATCGCATTACCGTCCGCATGCCCCCGTTATCATAAATCATAGTCTGCGAGGGTTGCTGTCTTGTTAGAAACGATCGACGATACTCGATAATACATTGTTCGCTTTTTGCAACGCTGAATCTGAATTTCTCTCTTGGAACAGTTTCAAAATAAAATTAAGGCACGCGTATAAAACTATCATCATTAAAATCAACGTGTAATTTTAAAACTGAGATTTAAATATACTTTGCTTTCAATTAAAAATAGCCAGAAACGAATGTCGGTCCAAAATAAAAAGAAAGTGATAAAAAGCATCGTCTCATAATCGTTATAAATATAATCTGGTTGATTTAATCTGTGGACTTCGTCGGTCCAACGAAGTATTTTAACATTTCGATCGAACGCTTCGGAATATTCATCACCAGCAATCGTCGATAACTTCGAAATGAAATGTTTTATATGAAATATGTATGTACGGTGAAACACATTCGACATAAAAGTTCTATTTATAGCAACAAGCGGCTCTGATGGCTGCTGCAACGGCGCAAGGAACATACATCAACCCGATGGCGGCGTTAGCTGGACAATTGCCGCACGCGTTAAACGGCATCCAGCCGACTTCCGGTAAGTTCATTGCCGTTCTGATACCGATATCGATACCACTGTACGTTGGACCAGATTTCCCGAAACGTGACCAAACTTCGAACGATCAATTTTGTCGATATTGTGAACACAAATGTAATTATTACTAGAGAAAGTTATACATAACATGTATAACATGATGCAAAAGAATCTAGAAAGAAAATACAATCTTTGCATGATCTCGAACATTTCATGTTTCCCTAATTACAAAAATTAATATCCACGACTAATGACGATTATTTATTTTGGGCGAAGTTTATTTTAATTTTGACCACGTTTCGGAGATTTTGTCCCACTGTGCTCTGGCGTCAGAATTTAACACCGTCGATGCATGCCTTAATTTTTTAATCGCGCTACGCCCACGCCATCCGTCTCGCTGGGAACGAAGCGCAGGGAGCCCGCGAAACGGTCGATTTCCGGAAAAACATTCGACTCGAAAGACATACAGGGGATACAAGTTCGTTTCACAGACGCGAAACTCTTTCTTTATCTTTTCACTTTTATCCGGGGCTCTTCCCGTTCGTTCCTCCCGGACATCGCGACAGCAGGAGCGTACAGTTCGTTACATTATAACCGGCTCGTAAATCAATACAACATTCTCACCGAGTAGCGACTCGGCCCGAAAGATATTGTACCGCGAATCTTTATCGAAAACTTGCCCCGAACGAGGCAAAGCCAAAAGGCATTGTTCTTTTTCATCTGCATCTCCTCTTGGCCCCCATTGTCTTCGCGCCCTTCTCTTTACTGGTTTCTCGCGTCGAAAAGGGAGAGGCGAAGCAGCCCTGACAAGCAAAGCAAGCACGGAAATCGATAGGAAAATAATATTTTATTTCTTCTAGATCTCCCGTTTGTTATTTAAAATTCTTGTTTAGATACGACCATTGCCCGTATCTGCAGAAATTCGTATATTCTCGTCGATCGTATTTTAGTATCGATTTAAAACCAATAGTGGAGCAACTTTGATAAACTTCAAATACGCATGAAACTTTCAATAGTTATTCTTGCATTTACAAGCGTTCGACAGCTATTCGAATACGTAGGATAAGGGAGGAAGAATTCTTTGCCAACTTGAGCAGCGGAAGATTCGTGCTCGATTCCGGGCAATCCGATCGGCCAATTCTTTTTCTCCCCTCGCGATAACATACCGATACCCACGCATGAGCTTTGTATACCTTTCGTATATGCAAACACACTTTCCCAGTGTTTCTCAAACTCTGATCCATGAGTTGTCCACAAGGTAACGAGATACCGCATGCCCAATTCATATTTAATATTATAAAATTTCTTTAAAAACTAGTTTCGAAATACAGAGTGTTCGGCCACCCCTGGGAAAAATTGTAATGGGAGATTCTAGAGGCCAAAATAGAACGAAAATCAAGAATACCAATTTGTTGATGGAGGCTTCGTTAAAAAGTTATTAACGTTTAAAGTTCCACCTGTACTGAATTTTTTTCTCAAAAATGCGCAGAATTTCGGAGGTATGTCTATTCACCAAAAATGATTATAATTGACCCCCGCAATCGAAAATAATTTTTCCAGAACGATCTGAAAAAATACGTATGAAATTGCAGTGAAACATATCAACGTATGGTCAGACATTATATTTACTGCAAAGAATTTTTTTTCTCGAAAATGCGTAGGAATTCGGGGTTATGTCTATTCACCAAAAATGATTGTAATTGACCCCCGCAATCGAAAATAATTATTCCAGAACGATCTGAAAAAATACATATGAAATTGCAGGGAAACATATGAACGTTTGGTCAGACATTATATTTTCTGTAAAGAATTTTTTTTCTCGTAAATGCGTAGGAATTCGGGGTTATGTCTATTCACCAAAAATGATTGTAATTGACCCCTGCAACTGAAAATAATTTTTTTTAAACGATTCGAAAATTTTTTTTTCGCCAAAAAATTCAAGCACCTACTCGAATTTTTTTCTCGAAAGTGGGTAGGAATTCGAGGGTATGTCTGTTCACCAAAAATGATTGTAATTGAGCCCCGCAACAAGAAATAATTTTTTCAGAATGATTTGAAATTTTTTAATAACTTTTTAACGAAGCCTCAGTCACTAAATTGATATTCTTGATTTTCTCTAGAATCTACCGTTAAAATTTTGTACATTGTGCTATTGGTGACTCACCGACAGCTCTCCTCCGGTTTGCGGGAAAGTGAAATTTGAGAAACACTGCCGAAACGAAGTAGGCGTCACGTGGGACAGCAAAGTAGCGATCCAATTATCCTGAGAAAACAGTCGGTCATTGTGTCGATGGAACGTTTTGTTCGCATTTGCATTGGCACGAGTCGTTATTAGTCCTAAGTTCGGTATCGAGGGTCCGTCGATCTGCAAATCACATGGACCCCCCAAAACGTGACGCGAGGCATACGGATCGTAGGCAAACTCGCGGCGACGTCCTAGCAATTATATCGTATATACCGTAAATCGGTTGACAGGACGTGGTGGAGGACAACTAACCAAACGTTAGACGTACGTCGTGAGCATTTCTGATCCGATGCCGCGCGTCAGGAGGGTGACTGAGGTCGGTGTTGTAAGAGCAAGAGGGTAACCGGTGTGTACTGATCAGGTTTGTTCGTAGGTAGCGGTACAGGGCAGTCGGTTAACGGGGCGATACCGTCGTTACCGTCGCCAACGATGCCCAATTTCAACATAGCTGGACAACCACCTAACAGTCAACCAGCAGGTTCGGATCCAAGTGTCTACACCAACGGCATACCGCAGACCTATACGGGACGTGAGTATCAACTCAGGCGCAGTGTGCCGCCCCTGCGCAATGCTCGGCCAATCGACGTCGGACTACATTATTCCGCGTTTCCGACGATAACCAGGTAACCGCGCCCCAGACGTGTACAACGATACGTCGATTCCTCGTTCCCAACATCAAAGAAATCATTGGGATTTTCATGGGGAAGGGAAAAAAACAAGAATCCCCTAAACGCAGGAATCGACGACCAGGGCGACCTCGAACCGTCGAAGTTTCGAATCTCGGCACGAACGAACATATCTAATTTATAGGGAAAAATATCAGCGACAGTTCTATTGGTATCGAAGGGAAATGGTATAGTAAATATACAACAGAATGTTAATTTTGGGGATAATTAACTGATACGAAAATGGGGGGGTAGTTGAAATCATACTCCCCTTTAGAAATTCAAGAGCAATGACAATGTGGAGTGTCAACAATTTTGACAGATATATTGAGACTGTGGAACATGTGTTATGATAGTTTATGAAAATTAATATTCCTTTTATCTAAAGAGAGGAGGGAAGAAATAGTATAAGTATAACATAAAATTATTAAGGGAGATACTTGAGATCAGCAGTAAAGGAAACCGAAAAATAGAAGAGATTTATAATAAACGTATATGTAAATATAAGAATTGTAACCCTTTTCATGTTACTCATTCAATTTTTTCTCCCACCTGTAGGCAAGAAGGATATGCATTTATTTTCAGAAACAATCGGAACGTATGTTCCACAATTTATTTTACTATTTTCACGTACGCGACATTGACCACAGTAATTTTTCAATTTTCCGGACAATGTAAGTAATTCTTTTTACAAACGCACGTTTTCCTTTCCCCTTGTACATGCATTTGCCTATGGACGAAATATTAAAAATAAATTTACATTTAATTTCGTAATTCTTCCAGGCTGTCTTTCTTCCTTTATTATCGAATAGTGTAAAATCGATTCCGGATTTCGTCGGTTTCGCGTTCGAAATACAGGCATCGAAACTCGGCATTCAGATTTCGCGTTTTATCCCCGAGGTATCCAAGAATACACGATACGGTGTACAATATCGATTGGTCAATGCGTATTGCGACAGGGGCCTTAGATGTAGGTCTGTCCTCGATAAGAGCTGAGCTTACTGAAGTGTAGATGCCCTCCATCTGTCCATTCCAGCACAAGGGATGCCCCCCAGTGCGGAACCGCCACTTCAGCATGCCACCGCGTATCCCGGAATGCAACCATACGCCAGTGTCGGTAAGTTTTTTTTCTTCCTTTCTCGTCCATTTACCTTTTCCCTTAGTTCTATCGTGGATTCCATCGAGCTCTCATATCTAGCAGCGAGTTTTCACGATACTTTGCCGAACGTGTTCCACCGGCACTTTTCGATAATCGCGCGCACCCGAAAACCGGCCGTCAAAGAACGACATATTGAATTGCTCGACGAGCCTCGAAAAATTAAATCGAAATTACCGCGTTATTATTGGAAATTGTTATTATATACGTCGAATTTACATACCGTTTCAATTATCCGCGCGAACCGTGAAAAGCTCGCGAGATCGCAATACTTTTCATCGACAAAATAAGTATCCCCCGAAAGTACGTCCCCCTTTCGCCTTTCGTTGATCACGATTTTCCAAGTCGACTCGTAGGGCTCGAAGGCAAACGAATCCGTTCGATCGAGTAGTCTGCTTTTATCCGGGCAGTCGAGCACCAAAACTCTGAAACAATTCAACATGGTTGTACGCGTTCTCCAGCTTCTGTATGCAACTATGGCTGCATGTGTACATTTATATAGGTACATGGCAATGTGGCACGGACATGTATATACACATGCGAAAAGTATACAGATGTCTTTCGGCCACCACTATGAATATATTTGTATGTGTATGTGTACTGTGATATGTACAAGGTGTCTCGTTATTGTACGGACGTCGGTGATTCTTCGTAAACTTAGTCGAATGTACGGAATATATCGATACGTACGTGTGCATTTAGCTCTCGAATTATTTTAAATAATTTTAAATCATCATTTATTATTTTCATTATTATTGGATAAATTTTTTAACAAGTTTTATAGTAATAAATGTTTCAGCTTCAAACACAAACTTATCCCAAGAAGATCTATATAGTATCAGTGGTTTACTCGAGACATTTATCAATATTCTATGTTGCTGAATCGTGTCACTGGGAAATTCAATCACGATCAATTACCATCGAATCATCGAAAAGAATAATTCTCAGTCAAGTGCACGCGTGCCAGGAATTATCAAAGTCGCTGTTCTCGAAAACGAATCGACAAGAGTTTCGATAACAGACCACCCCGTATATATAAATATATTATAAACGTGCCGCGTGTACGTGTTGTATATAATGCTTCTGGTGTGTTGTTGCAATGTACTTCGATGTTCCTTTAAATATACGTCACGTGTACATTATATATTGTATCCTTTTAAATATATTGTATGCCGTGCATGTTCACCGATACGTGAACAAAAAAAAAAAAAAAAACATGTAGACGCGAGGCGTTTGGATCGGTCGAAAATGTTACATCAAAGTGCGACGCACCAGCAGAAATTATAATTTCAATAATCGACGTTAAAATGGACGTTTCCGTTTCAGAGATAATCGGCGTCCCGACGTAACGGTAACTTCGATTCGTTTCTGTTCCGCTGTTAGCAATTAACGCGCAGATCTGATAAATTCTGTCTACCGCTGATTAAATTAATGACGGCCCGTTCAAATTGCGTTTCAAATGTTTCGCGGTCGTGTTTCATTATGGACCGCGGAAACATCGGGCCGTATGCTCTTTTCGCGTTAATAATTATTTTCGCGCGCGACCGCGCTATATTTTCCCCCTCTGTCCCGAAACCCTTTTTCCTCGATTCTTTATTTTTCTCTCCGCGCGCGCGCGCGCGCACGCGTGCAGTATCTTTTTATCTCCGGCGCGTAGGAATTGGTAGGAATTCATCAAAACTGAGATATAACGTACGACCGGACCGCGTTGGTTTTCCGTGTTTGCCGTGGACTCAAAAATAGGATATTCTTTTTCTGTGTATTTTAGTCCAGTGTACACAGTCCGCGGAGATCAGCGAGCGGAAAAAAAAGCAATACGAAATACCTCTCGTCCCTCAATCCGAGCGAATGGTAACCGACGTATGATGGTGTATTTATTTCATATGCCAATCGTCGGCACGCCGGTGGAGCGAAACCTCTGGTAACGTCAATCGGAATATATTAAAGCGGTGTTTGAACGAAAATAATTAATTTCCAAGCGAAAATTTATCTCTTCCGATCTGAGAGCGAATATATTCGATGCCCCACCCACCCCTCGTCGTTTCAATGTGCGTTTATCCGTCGCAAACAAATATCAATCGCGCTCATTTTAAATATTTGCCAAGACATAATTAATGCCATTATAATTGTTTCCCCGTAACGTTACGCGGCAGAACTGTGCATTTACTACCTTCGAACCGAAAGATTTTTATCCGACCGATCACGTGCATCGAGTTTCCGCTGTACTTTGCATACCCTCGTCCTTCGCGTTTCATTCTTTTGACGATACTGCTCTCCAATTAGAAGACCTATTTGGCAACTCTCAAATTACTCGAAACACACGTATTTGTATCGCTATATCGCGATCACCTGTAATCTGGATTCTGCAAGAAATCGTTTTGATTCCAAGTACGTTTGTTCGAAACGTTTTGTGTCTTCATTTTTGCCAGAGAATGGAGCAAAACGTAATTAAAACTATCATGTTATCCGTTTTAAATGATTTAGAAGATGCTAAATTTGACCGACGATGTGTCCAGGTTTAATATTTACGAAAAATAAGTATAGTGAATTCTGCTTACTTGTGTAACTGTAACGATCGCGGCGCGTCTCGTTTCTGACGTGAAAACACAGGTTGTCGCGGGATTTTGAAGCGATATCGCGTGTCGGTTAATATCATCGGCCACGTCGGCGATAGTATCGCTGCAAAGTACAAAAGTATCGTGTTAAAAGTTGCGAAACGATGAGAACGTTGAGAGTTGAATACCCTTGTCGGGAGAAACGCCACCGTGAACGCAGTTGGAAGCCTTGCCGGAAATAATCCATTCGGCGGAACACTAAAAGTATACGTAGGGCGGTTATTGCTTCGCGTAATATATATATTAGCAAACTAATCGCTTCTAAATGCTCTACGAAAAGATATTATCGGTGAAGAAACAACGATTTTTTTCATATTTCTCAGAATAATTATTTTTGAATTAGACAAGTTCTGTTCGTTTGAATTTGTGGTTCAAACTTCAAACTTCGTCTCGATGCAAATATTCCATCTCTTTGTAGCGAAAGCGCTAATGCCCGTGAGAAGCTGTATATAACGAGAGCAAGATACGAACGAAAAGGAAGGCAGCATGTACTTTGTGTTTAGATGTGGATACATCATGATGTATTTGTTATTTGTTATTTGTTATTGTCGCAGCTTATCCCGCCGTCTACAGCCAGTTTCCTCAAGCTATTCCACAGCCGATGACTGCCGTGGCACCAACGCAAAGAGAAGGTAAGTGCGATACACTCATTAACGTCTAACTGTTGACTGTAAACACGAACGATTGCAGTCCCGAGATTGTAGATCCAAGTCCCAAATGTCCAGACACGAATGATCCCTCGTCGTTGAGTCGCAAAGTGTTGAACTAATCGCAAACAGATCTCTGTACGCTGCGTGGAATATTCGTTACGTTAAGATTACGATTAACAAGAGAGAGAAAACGAAAAAAAGATTGACGCAAGAGTCGCAACGAGAAATTCTTTTGGTCAGAGCATTCAGCGCCGTCGACGAGCCTTTTTATTAATTCGACCGTGAGCCATCTTTTTTGTTAGTTTAATCACACCATAGAGGAAAAAGGAAGGATGACCTAGAAGCGTTGATGAACTTTTACGTTTCCAATATCGCGAATAATGACGGGCTTCGCCGCCGTGAAAGTGGCACAAAACAGGCCTCTTCCCTCGTAACGTACTTCGTCCGTTAATTACTGCCGCAATAATGAAAGAATTAATTTCCAACGTTTCTCGTTCGGCGTAATGGACGCGAGGAAAAAAACGAATTACCAGCTTGTTAACAAATATTAATTTGATTTGGGACGGAAGGTGAAACGAAGGCTGATCGAATGTCGCGTAATTGAGATCGAACGGTCCGACGTTGAAATTAATTACCGATCTTGTATTAGATTTAAAAGGTTCGTACTGATTTCTGTGATTTTGAAGCTCGATATACGACCAACCGGAACTGAAAACTGAAACTTAAAATCTCGTTTTAATCTATTCTTCGCTTCATCTGAATACAATGTTTATTCAATGAGTCCTCGTTGCCTTCGTTCTCCAAATCTGAATTAACCTTTACCTCGTCGTAATTGCGAGGCCGCCTCGTATGCGAGTCGCGTGCGAAAATCCTGGTAAACATGAACAACGGTGGGGGGGTGGTTCTGTTGCGTGTGCATCCGTAACGCAGAGCGTAGGAAGAAAGTAGTCGCTGCTGTTTGAACCAACGTAGTGAAATTAAAAGTCACCGGATACAATTATTCGATTCGACGTTGACCGAATCGATATCGTCTCGGAGGATACCGGCGAGGGAGGAGACCGTTCGTGGGTGTTATATTAATGAATAAAAAGGTGAGCACTGGGTTAGAAGATGGTGGATAGAACCGCGGCGGAGCAGGAGCGGAACGGACCGAGCCAACGTTTAATTGCAATTAACAACTCGCCTTTATTAGAATATACGACGCTTAACAATGAGATAATGCAAATAAAACGAAAGTTTTAATTACTTTGCCACTACGCCTGCCGGCGATCCGTTGTTACATTGCAGGATAATGGGAAGTTTACCGCGACAGCGTTTCCTTTCCTCGCCCCGTTCAATGTTCCCCCGGCATTCCCTTTTTCGCTCTTTTCCGATGCAATTTTTCGCCTATCCCTTCGAACACACAATATCTCATCACATTTTTGTTGCAAGAAGAATCTAGATGTGCTGTGTCGAGTGAAGAGTTACTTTTATTGTTTCATTTACCGTTTATTTACGTATAAACGTTGGGAACGATGTTTCAATTTTTATGAAACTTGAAAGACAGACGAAGCATTGAAAAATATTAGTAAATTCAAATTGCGAACGAAGTGTTTGATTTTTTAGTCACACCTTGAAAGTTTAATATTGTTTAATGCTGTCTGTACGTCAAGTTCGATTAAAATCGAAGGAATATCGGTTCCAATGTACTATCAATTCTCAAGAAGTCACGTTTAAAAATGTTCGAACAAAAATATCTATTGCGATGAATATGTTTCGTCGGAAACAGCGCAAATTACACGCACCAAACTTCGACACCAAAAATGTATGTATATTATTTTCTTCTTAATCGGTGTACAGAATGACGAGCATAATTCACAGTGCAACTGAAAGGGGGACGATTCTTCATAGAAAAAATAAATTAACGTGTCGATCAATCTGCGCCCGGGCAACATTTCAACGTGAATTTCCCCGTATACGAATTACACGCATTTTCGATTTATTTTTACAAAAAGGATCGTCTGTTTTCAGTCGTAACACGAATTACATCGCGCTCTGTATTTTTATTCAAGTAGTATTTGCTTAACAGCGGGTGTGTTATTTAACGAGAATTAAGTCTTTTCGTCTTTACGAATATATTGACATATATTTATTTTTCGTTTTGTCGACTCGGTCAAGAGAAACGTTAGAAATTTCTTTTATGGCTTTCAAGAGTCGCGAATTCGGTCGAATTATTATCGCAGGAGCTTAGCAGCCACTCTGCCTCTGACTGAGAGCTCGAATTACTCGGATAAAGAAATTGTACGAATAGTTTCTAAATATTTTTGAAAAAATAAAAACGAGAATTGCCTAACTGTTAAATACCAGCTTCAGCGGATTCGCAACTTAACGGTTTGTCTGGCCGTTGATACTTTCACCGTGGATTCGAGGGTGATGTTGCTTTCATTAAATACGTGTGCACATCCCGCGCGTGGGCCAATTAGAGAGTCGAAATCCAATTTCAGGATCAACGATCGCACGGTACGACGACGTAGTTGAATTTATGGCTCGTTCTTCGTGATTCCAGCGTCCACCGCAATTCCTCCTCCATTTTCTACCCCACGTCGAAACCGGAAACCCGCTGACACCGGCTCTAATTTAGGTTTCACGTGACAACTACGATCGAGTTATTATCAAGACGGAGTCGCTACTCACGGAAGAGAACATTTGTTACTCTTTGTGTAAACCGTGGGACGTGTTTTGTTACCTCGTCGAACCGCTGAGAACACCTCTCTTATTTTTCTTCCTCTTCGAATCCGACAGAGACGTTTCGAAATACAAACCTGGCATTTTTCAGCGTTACGTTTCCATTTTTTGTAACATGACTTTTCGATTCAAAGGCGACTTTTATATCGATAATTGGTATTATTCGCGGAACCAGAAACGGATGATCGCGTTTTACAGTAATTCGACGAGGTAACGGTTGTTCGTAAAGGCGATAAAGCGACAAAGGCGCAAATCTCGCCAAGGGACGAAGGAGTTGCGATGAGTAGCGTCCTAAAAGTTGAGTGGCAGCCATCTCATTACTTAAACGCGTCCGTTAGTCGAGAAGCGCTGGCTAAGAGAGCAGAAGTTTCCACGGTTATAATCGCCGCTAATTGACGTCGGAGTTATAAAGTTCACTGAAAATTAGCTAAATCCTTATTTGGACTCTCGTTATTCTGACCCCTTCGTTTTGCTCCTTCCGTTGGACTTTTCTCCGTGGACGTATTAATCGTCGGTGTCCTCGTGCCTTTAGCGGCTGACATAAAGTAAGAAAAGAATTTTTCGTTGTACGACGAGAGCTGGAAAAATTCAACCAAACTAGGAGTTGCGTTTCGTTCGAAACTTTACAGAAATTTAACGACCGATCGTCCGTTAATACGTTCGCTATTTCCGTTAAGTTTGAACACCACCGTAGACCGATGCTGCGTTTATTGCAATTTTATTTAATGTAATGCATGCTTTTGATTACGTACAAATAAAATGTATTAAATGAGCCGACAGGAATATTTTTAAATAGACGTCAAATGTATGCGACGCCCGACAGCGAACGTGTTAATCGAACGTAGAATAATTAAGAAAGTTAGTTCGAAAATGATAATGAAAGTCAGATGTCTCAAAATTTCACGAACTCTTTGTCTTTCGAGAAACGTTTTTTACGCATTCATCCTTCGTCATAAAAGTGTTCGCATCGACGTACAGAGTATCGAGTTATTCGTTAGAAAAGATATTCCACGCAAAGTCTCGGGTCATATCCATGCAGCTCATATCACAGAACTGAATCATAAGATAAGACGACGGATTAATGTCTGACGGCGAACTCATGTAAAGTGTCGCACTTTCGTAATCAGTATCATCACCACCGTCACTGTACCCCTCATATCCATTTGCATTCATTAAAAAAACCCTTTACCTCGCTCGCCATTGTGTTGTGAGTCCCAGTGTTGTGTGTTTGTATATTTGAAAGTATAAATACTCAACGTTATTTGAATCGCGAAGAATCTCATTGTCGTGACGGGCATCGTCGTGACACTCTAATCATTACTCTCTTCGTCGTTAGTCTCGCACCCCCTTCCCACTAAAACCTATTTCTTTGTTTGGCTCTTTGCTAATTTTCTCTTTCTCTATTTTTATCGTTCTACCCCCATTTCAACTTCCCTGCTCCCTCTGTCTCCTCCCCATTTTTCTCTTCCCTCTCTTCCGTCCATCCAAAGCGTCCCCCTTAATCATGCTTTTTTTCATTCCGTTGAACGTTTTATCCCCGGTATCACCTATCATGCGATTCATTGGAACAAGTACCGATATTTGCTATCACCCTTTATGATTTTCATTGCGACGAGAGAGAAATCAGATTGTCATCGAGAGACGATCACGAGTTCTTCATCTTCATTCATCAAAAAACGCATTCTAAACGTGAAACGGAAAGAACAAGGAGAGAGAAACGACTCCTATCGCGTCGAGATCATTGTATTGCAAAAGGACGAAACTCATCCAGAACTAACATTCTAACTTGAGTATTATACTTCAAGTTTAGATGTTTAGATGTGCTCTGATTTATATGGTAGGATGCTCTCTCTCAGGACCCGAGGGCTGCAACCTGTTCATCTATCACCTGCCACAAGAGTTTGGAGACCCTGAGCTTATGCAGACGTTCATCCCTTTTGGCAACGTCATATCCTCGAAGGTTTTCATCGACCGGGCCACCAACCAGAGTAAATGCTTCGGTAAGTGTGTCATTCCCACGAACGAAATCGAAAGTGGCCCGGAAGAGAGAAACGAAAGACCGTTTGGCCAGGTAGACGACCGACGGTGAAGTCTTCGAAAGGTAGGAAAGTCCGGATGGTGTACGTCGACGATATCGACTCGAATCTGCTGGTAGGAAAAATGAAATTCATGCGGTAGGAACGACTTGTTCATTAAATGTTTCACCACTTCCCTAACCGAATTCTTTTCAGTGATCGGTCCAAAAAAGACTCGTTTCGTTTTTTTAAATATTTAAAAACCGTCACCGAAATATACACAGAAAGCTCTGCTCCAAATTTTATGTCACCCTTTCTACTTATTTACTTCGTATCGTTTCAGTCACCGAGCATGATTTTGCGTATTTATCTGGTCGACTGGTCGATAAAACGTAAAAATGTAATTCTCCTTTGGTAATTTCCACGTAACCAAGCTTCTACTTTCTTTGTTTACTTTACTCGTGAATTTATTTAACCGTTAGAGGAAAATAAACGATGTTTGATAAAGCATCTTTCAGATCGCGATATTGCTTCCTCAGAAGTTGTAAATAATAAGGATTCCTCGCTTCGAAAGCAAGTCGAGTATTCTCTTTGGAACTTCATCAATATTTTATTTTTGTAAACACTACGGGAAAGCCAATTTCAGCGATACCGGGTCTTTCCACGGAACTTATTGCCGTTTCCTGTAAATTTCCAGTCCATCGTTGCCACGGCAAACATTTATTACAACTTTTTTAATCTCGCGTACTGGACCGTACTGAAATCAAGAGGCCCTTTTTGCGTTGTAAAAGGCCGAAACAGAAAGGACACTGACAGAGCTGGTTTGATTAATCGTATTCAGAATGGATATACGTGTGCTAGGAAACTGGCACGATTAATATTTTTCAGCCCATCGCTGGTTAATTATCGGACATCGTTACAGTCGGAAAATTGTCGTCGTTGAAAGGACACGTCTCATTGTATCTACCTTTCATAATACGTATTCCCGTTGCATGCAATTATCTTGGTATCGATGAAACTATTCGCTCGAAACGTACACTTGCGTGTTCATTTTGTAAAAGCAAAGACTTTGATCCGAGGATGAAAGACGAAACGAGATGATTCGATCGTGAATATGCTTCGTTGTAAGAATTCAGTAAAAGAAACAACCGCGAAAGAAGAGTAATTTCTATATGAAATTAAATTTTTTTTTACCAATGAAGATCTATGTAACGTGCATCTTTCAATTTGCGGTAGTTACGATGGTTGGTATTATTTCGACCGGAATCAGCGACGAAAAGATTTCCCGGTAAAGGGCGAATGAAATTTTTTTAGTCGCGTAGTAAAAGTAATTTATGAACTCCGAGTAAAAGCGGCGGCAGCCGAGCGATGAACAACCGCGATTGGTCAGACAGTAGGCCGCCATGATGGCAAACCTAAAATTGGATCGGAGCTAATGGTCAAAATTGGCTTAAACTGGAATGGCCCTGATGACCTTTCAGCAGCGCTCCTGTTGTTAAAAGCTTCGTTATCGTATACCTTTCCGTACTCTCTCTTACTCCCGTCCTCGACAAAACTTTGACAATACCGGTTGCCTTCGTAGAAAACTTTTTATTCCTCCGGGCGAATTAACTAATCTAATTACAGTTTAGGTTAGCCCGCGAGTAGACCCTCGGAGACCCTTTTACGATAATCCGGTGCCCTCGGGTGTTGATATTCAACTTCTCATTTTCATCGTAAGTCCGGAAGCCAATTTCGCCAGTCGGGCGTGTACAATTTTGACCATTTTTATGTAATAATTATCGCGGTGCTTCTACGTTGCAATCAATGATGAGTCGAAATATCTTCATTGGTAATAATTCTAATACAAATGTCCCGATCAGAAATTGTTTTGGACACAAATAGCAATACGTATAAAATGAAGAACGAAGAATTTGAATTATTGATGCGAATGAAATATTCTATGGTAAAGTCATTCTAGGCATTTTTAGTATTCCAACGTTCTTGAAGGAGACTAGAGTAAAATGTTTGAAATATTAGAAATACTCGAACTGACTTTACCTTGTAATACAAAATGAAAAATTGCTTAAACGCTGCAAACTGTTTTCTCGTACATTAAGCTTTCGAGGTAATTGATATTTATCACTCTGCAATGTTATAATCGATATTGCTGTAAGAGGAACGCTTTCGATGAATTTTAATGTGCAATGTTCAGTTTTATTATTTACCAGCAGCTTTACCGTTTGGTTTTTCCAGGTTTCGTGTCGTTCGACAATCCAGCGAGTGCGCAGACTGCAATCCAAGCGATGAACGGCTTCCAGATAGGGATGAAACGTTTAAAAGTCCAGTTAAAGAGGCCCAAGGACGCAAGCCGGCCATACTAACCAAAGTCCTAGCTTAGAGAAACTGGACGATATGCACCGTACATCATAACCTACAGAGTATGTTCTAAAAATTACATAAATTACATAATGTGATACAAAAAACTGCAATTCGGTATTTAACTTCAAATGTAATTTAGTCCTTGCAAGGAAATGCAATATTTTTAAAATTTCGTTTACAATTTTACGCGAACACGCTCGACAGTTCGGGGACAAGGAATTAAAGAATATCGACGATTTCTAATTGCAGATGTCGTACAAGAACCCGGGCTCATAGAACGCTCGACGATCAGAAGTGACGAGTTTGAATCACCGTTACAACGCTCTCCACTATAATAATCTAGTATACTAGTTAGACAATTAATTAGAGGATAAAAATTAGAAGCCAGTAAAGCGACTTCGTCTGCAGTCACACGGCGAGAATGAAGAGGCTGACGATAAAAATATTGGATGTCCAGCACTGAACTCAGTCCGAAAATACCAAATGCGCGTACGATGCACGCTTCAACGTTCTCGAATGTTCGGATAGAACGAATTCGATACTAGAAACGCCGTCGGTTTCGTCATCGATATATCCGCCCCTTTAACCTATTTTTTATTTAACTTCGCGTTGTTCTTTCGTCCCTTTCCTTCATTCTCGAATCCCCCTACTGCCAAACGAGCACAGTACCAAAACGGAACACACCTGTTCGCCGTAGATCCTAGTACGATTTCTCAACATCCGAACATTCGGGAAGCCTATAATTCGGGGGTGAAGGGTCTCCCGATCCGGGTTATCATTCCCAGGACACGTTAATTCCTAGTTTTAATAATTACGATAAATGTTCGAGGACGGGTGACCTTCTTAACGATAACACAAAGAGCGCTCTCAGTTCCTGATGCAACGGCATGGCGACTTTCGTCAACCGGCTGTCAAAGTGTTAACTAATTACCGCGATTCGGTCCACAGAGCGCGAGAGATCAGGCGTATTCGTCCAGGCAATTGGTCGTGTTTCGAACTGTTCCGTTCAGCAAGCGATCTTTCGCCAATTTTAGTTTCGAGCGTAGAAAGAAGTCGTCAAACACAACGGGGACGTCTTAGCTTCGAATGGACGATGCGACCGTCTCGAAATCGTCTCTGTGCTGAAGTGGGTCATTGGGCAATTCGCGGTTCCTCCTAACGCAAACTTGTCAATCACGTATACAGGGTGCTCGTCTTACGCAACATTTAAAAAAGTTTATAAAAACGAAACTACACGCGAACACGAACACGAACACGAACACGGACACGGACACGGACACGTTTACATACATGTGCACTCTTACGTACACTCAGATACGTATATAGACGAGACATACGTAGCTACACACGTATGAAAACATGGAATCAATGCCGACCCGACATCCGTGGGTTAACGGTTCTTCTTGCTTATGTGTATACGTATGTGTATATATCTAAACAAATATGTATACACACGTATACATAGTTTTTTTATATATATAACATTTAAAGGGATCGTCGACGCCGCGTCGAACCATAGTCATCCTAAAGTCCGGTTATCCACGACGCGGCGCACGTTCTCCCTGTATACTTATTATTATCACCCTTATTATTATCGTCATTATTATTATGATCATAACGATTAATTACGACTACCGTTAAGTGAAAAAGCGTGAACGAATTTCCGGTCGAAATTACGATGTATTGGTATTCAATATCTAACGAGGGATCGTTCGACCAGATCGCTGCGTTTCGCGATCGTGTACGATCGAGATCCTGTTCGACGGTCGATTTCGTGGCACGATAATCCATGAAATCGTTCTCGTTTTAATTCACCGGACACGCATCGCCCGGGAAATGTCAATTAGGCTGTGATTATCCGAACAAAACGAACAAGAGTAGCAAGAAGGTGGCGGACGATATTGGTAAGATTAAATTCCTCTCGAACCAAAATAATCGGAAGATTGTCTGATCCGGCTGAATTCCGCAGAACTTTTTTCTTCGCTTTAATTTTAATCACCTAGTCTACGTCTAGTCATTTTTTTTCTTACGTTTTCTTTTTTATAAGATATTTATTTATTGCGTGGATACTTTCGTTGGAACGGTATGTTCCATCTACCTGAAGCGATATAATAGTTTTCAACGATTTCTTGAACGATAGAAAAACTCCACGGTGCGAGTTGTTCGCGACATATTTATTTTCTAGACGCCAGAAACGAGATCGCAATTTTATTAACGACAGAACGACGAATAGATTCTGCGTCGGGCTAAGTTGCATTTAGAAATCATGATCGTTCTATTATTCTCTGCACGTACGTTTGGAATATACCTGAAATTACGATTTACGACTGTAAGAATTACGATCTAGTCCCCAGACACTCAGTACCTTACGTTGTCTTTAGAGTTGTTGTTCCTTGTTTTCTTTAAATCTTTCTTTTTTTTATTAGCGTTGCTTGTTGTTGCAAATGATTTCTGAGACGGTCAGAGTGCCAGGTTTCGTACAGAACAGACCGAACAGATGCACGGTAACACAACACATTGGCACGAAATAATAGAATCCGTGCCCGACGTTATCACGATTATAAGTGAACGGAGGCACAGAGGTACTTACTCTCGCGTGATTATCGAGTATCATTTCTGTACACGATAAATGAAACATTCGGACATTTAACGAGCGGTGCCCGGTCGAATCGCGCGGCCAGTCGCGAGTTTCGATTTGTGTGAACGATCGCGGACAGAAGTCAGGCGATAGTTGGCGAAGACAGAGAGAGAGCGGGGAAAACGGGGGATGAAAAAACGGGGTTATTAAAACGAAACCAAACGCATTAAGTACGGTAGAGGAACTAGCGTAGGTGAGCGGTGGAACGGAGAGGAGAACTCTGATCTAGCAGAAATAATCAACCAAAGTACCAAGAACTATTCTATATAAATATTTAAATATGAATTATTGAAGAAGAAGTATATAAATATATAAATATATAAATACTATAAATATGAAATATAATATAAATAAAATAAATACGTTTACGTATGTATCTGTGTATACGTCGTATATACACATATATATACGTACACGTACATTATCAATATATACATATATTGATTGAAAGAAACTAGGGACTTAGAAAATTATTATGATTTAGGTAAATCAACATGAAATAAATTACTATTTCGAGGAACGGGGAATGAGGAGGACCGGCTCTAGTCTGGCGCAATTTACGACACGACTAAAAGCTATCGCAAATTTATACACTATTTAAATGAATATAGTAATTGCTACAGGTAAATGCATAAATGTATAGATGAATATGTGCGTACTCACGTACGTGTACACGTATTTGTTTATACGTTTATACGTTTATATATAAACACACAAACACATAAGTAATGTATTTATATTTTAGGGACGGGCAACGCTTTTCCTTGTTTTACGACACGTTCGTAAATTCGTTGCCTGTTCGTACACTCGCACACACGGATCATGCGAACACCATTGTAATTTCACGTATACATACACACACACACACACACACATACGCAAACGCGAACACATACACACACCGAAAACTACTACACAGTTAATACGAGTAAGTACTAATGAAATTAAAAACGAAAGGTGGGATGTGCTATAAATTCCTCTCCCTTGACGAGCTCGAATGGCTTGCTAATTATTGACGATATAAAATACTATTATATTATATGAGAAATCAATTAATACTAATAACTAATTTATAATATAATAATAATAATAATAATAAATAATAATAATAATGATAATAATAACAATACTTTATAATACGTACACATAATTTATACTACACGGTTAAACATACGTATATATTCTTGTCATTTTTAGGAGCGCTAAATTTGTTCGTATACGTGCATACACGTACGGTACATATATTTCATTGACAACGCGTATATGTATGCGTATATGGACGTATATGCAGGCCGATATATTGAGAACGCGAGCGTAGATGAGTGATGTTAAAAAAAAAAACCAAGTAGAAGTATATCGGCAACGACGTCGCCAAGGCGTGAGAAAAAAATCTTTGCCACGTTGTAACCGTGCGGTTCTAAACAGAAAAATGTTTCGCAAAACATCGCAACGAGCGCGTCAAAATCGGTCATAAGTCGACGCTTCGAACGACGGGACGCGACGCCTGGCAGCGTAAAACGCGTGTGCCTCTCCGGGGCAAAGACGTTTCGCGAGGAATGGAAAGTGTTTCTAGATCGGTGATGCCGGAAATACGAGCATCGTTTCGCGATCTACGTCCGCTGTGGTTCGACGCCCGTCGTCCAAGCGTTGACATCGTATATTGTGAAACTAACGACACTTTTGTTTCCCCCGTTTCGAGAGGGATTCGACGAAAAAGTAACGGAAAAAAAAGAAACGAACACGAACGACGATGCGATTTCGAATCATTGGCTGACAACAGAAGTAAATCCGCGAGGAGGCTGGGCGATATCCAACCGCGACGCAAACACTAGGGAAAGGGGATGCCTCGATATTGTCGCGACCGATATATATGTTTGCTAAATATCCGAGGTACGATCAGGAACCGTAAGATCAATCGCGATCGGTAACCATGAGAACTCAAACAGTGATCCCAGCGATAGCGACGCGAGCGTAAACACAATTAAAAGACGCGTGTCTATCTTTGCCCCGCTTGATGCGTTACGTGCACAGCCTACGGGGGTGGGTTTTCGCGCGGCGGCGCTACCTACCCCGTGGCGCATACCGATCTACGGTACACGTCAGGCAAAGACGATTTAGCGGATTAGACTCGGCTAGATCGGCTCGTCTCCGCGAGTTTCGTATTCCACATGACCGTTGGTCTCTCCGTTGCAATCGAATCGGCGCATTACGTTTTCCAAACACAGCCAATCGGTATCGTCGTTATCGGTGAGCGTGCTACCGTCGCCAGTTACCCTCATCATTTCGCGTATGCGTTGCGTGATCGATCAGATCGATGGATCGTGAGTTGCATTCACGTTGCGTTCCTTGTCGCAGATAATCCAAATTTCTTTAACGCGAGTGTCGACTGATTTCCCCGTTGATAAAACTAATTAGAGAATCGTTGATTAGCAATTTTGCGAGCATTCGACGAAAGGTTGTTATGATTATATGGAAGTTCCGATTTTTGAAGTATCTATCGATCAATCGTTTTCAGTTAATTCGATCGTGCTTTAAACCGAACCACCATAGAAACCCGCGATACGAATTAGACGAAGGAATGTTAGGCCGCCAAAGTGATTATGTAGAAACAGACACACACACACACGCGCACACACACACGGACACACATACGCCCCTAGATTCACGCGTAAAATCGTGCGACCGACGGACAAAATGACAGAAAGATAGAAAGGGAAAGAAAAAAAAAAGACAGACATGTATACTGGTAAAAGCTTGTATGCAAGCACCAATTGATAATATCACTACGATCTAAGCTTTATAATGTTTAACAGTACTAATAGCGAATATCAAGAAACACAACCTACCCTAATGAATAACTATAAATCCATATAAATATAAATGTACACACGTATAAATATAAATACAAAGAATAACGACGATTGTAAACAAACCAAAAAAAAAAAAAATACAACTATTTTATCCAACAAAGTTTTTTGCTACAATCGAAGTAGTATGCATCTTACTATGAAGTAAATGAGACTTAAGGGAGAAAGAAGAAATAAGTATTCTTAGCTGTAAGGAGAAGAGAATAATGATAATAGTAATCTGTGAGGATCAGCTTTGAATTTATTTTTACATGATGTGATGTAATACCGAAACGAATTCGCTGCTTGCACGGTAAACGGGCACGCTCGAGTATCGAACTTTGTATCGATTTCAGCTCGAACGAACCTACCCCGGGGGGGGTGGTGGTGGTGGGGCCACGTGTTCGATGGACGATCGTCGAACGGCGGGAACAAACGTGGGATAACATACGGTTAGCATTACGAACGAATGGGACGACGGGGCCCAATGGACACGCGGCCCCCCAAGAGTCCATCGAATGGAAGAATTCGCTCGAGTCGCGATCTCGATCGCCGTAGTTCGTTGAGATACGATAAATCAGTAATTCGCGGTCGTCGTTGTCCAGCGATATCGCCCAAACCATATAAATTACCTGGAAAAGTTGCCAAAGTAAACGAGTAGCGAGCAACTTGTGCGTTCTTCGATTTCATTGATTCGTGTACGATCTGTTACCGTAACTGCTGATTGCGACTTCAATCCCTTCCACAGAAATTTCCCGGTAATTTCATGGTGAACCGCGGGGACACGCACGAGGATTCGAACGGGAAACGGGAACGAAGAGTATCCTCCGCTCTCGGAATTGTATAATAACCTCCAATAATAATAATGATCAAACATCTCATGTAGAACATACTAGCACTTTACCACCGCTCTTGCACAGAAAGACAGCAAAAGAAAAAAAAAAAAAATGATCAACCCTCTCGACACAGCTATAAAACGCGTCATCGATCCAAATTTTACGTGGAATTACATTGGATTCAAGTCACGCGCGCCGCGACCTGATATCCGGTAGCCGTGGTGTCGGTGATACTAGGAAACAGGGTATGTTTTTGCAATTATTTGCGTAACTTGTAAAGAACTAGCAACAAAATAATAAAAAAAAATGTACACGCGTTTACACACCACATACACGTGCACATCTTCAAAAACCACTACGGAACACGTATAAATATTAAATACACGAGTACGGTCACGGTACGATTTCTTACGCCCACACGTGAGCACGAGCATTCGTATTACGCGCGCGTAACCGTAATACGCGCGTCGCGAACACGGGACACGAGCGCGGGAACTAAACACTTAAAAACTAATCGTACTATCTTTAACTATACAAAATATTAAAGTAAATAACGTCTCGTCGTAGGCTTTAAGTGCGATTCCACTCAAATACTTGCAGATTTCAGACATGAATTTCCATCGTCATCGTCGACGTTACGGTTCGTGAAAAGGAAACTACGGCGTCGGTAATCTCAGCTCATGCTTCGCGATACAGAAAAAGAAAAACGAAATTTCAGATATTATTTAACGCATTTGGAACGTGATCCTCGAACGCGAGGACACAGGTACTCTAATTAAAACAAATATACAATGTACATATTTCTTTTCCATTAACGGCTAGTTTGCGTCAAAGGAAACGAAACTATCGTGTTAATTTTACCGTTAACGAACATGCTATCGAAAGTAACCGTAATCTTCAAATTTCGTATAGTACGAGAGAATTCATACACGAACGTGTCACGTTAATCATTGAAGCGTCAGGCGAGTCAACATCCTCGTTCTTCCTTCCCTTTCCTGCGTTCCTTCGTTTTCTCTTCGTACAATTTCTCACGCGCGTTGTAACGAGACAACCATAATCGCTTTCTTCGACGCTCTAAAATGCGTGTGCGCGTACGCCAGATAAGAAGTGGAGCAAACTAGAGAATTAGTCGACCATCGTAATACCTAAAAATAGTTTCGCGATTTATCTAAAAATTTAAAACGAAAAAATACACATACACACGCGCGCGCGCGCGTAAATAAATAAACAGATAAATTAAACAAACAAAAAAAAAAAAAAAAAAACAAAAAAATTAGTAAGAATCGGCGAATACTTTAGACAAGTTTCAGCCGTCTGATGTCAATTCTTTCAGGTACGCTTATGCGTTATCGCAAGAACAATACGAGAATTCGGTTTTTTCTAACGTACCAAATCGATGTCTTTTCCTTGCGGTTGTATTAACGATAGAATCGGCGCGCGATTGTCGTAGTCGTTGGTCATCCAAAATTGCGTACCGCGTTCCCTCGAGTCGTAGGTACGGGAATTAAAAAGAAAAAAGAAAAAAAACGAAAAACAAAGAAAAAAAAAATTACGAAAAAGAGTC